ACACACACACACACAGACAGACAGACAGACAGACAGACAGACAGACAGACACACACACACACACACACACACCTCTTTTGATTGATTTAATGATTTTCTCAATATTTAGATTTTTTTGCACCCTCAGATTCCAGATTTTCAAATAGTTGTATCTCAGCCAAATATTGTCCTATCCTAAGCTTTTAGATGATGTATAAATCTCAGTTTTGAAAAATGTACCCTTACGACTGGTTTTGTGCTCCAGCCAGGGTCACATATTATTGGAGTGATGACTGATATTTAGATAATTTTATGTCAGTATCTGCTGTACTGTTATAAAGATCTCATTGATTTACATTACAAGCAGCAGAATTTCATCATCATAAATCAGACTATATGAGCCATAAAAGCCTGATGATCAAATATGATACTCAACAAAACACACATGCACAAAAGACGGCTCAGAGATTTAAGAGTATCTGACCTCCTGAGGGCACTGGTGAGCTCCGCTGCGAGGTCGCTGTCGCTTAGACTCCTCAGATCACACAGACTGATCGCTGGAGAATCAGAGTCCTGTAAACACAGACAAACACACATCAGTCAATCAGATATTACTGATTTATGTGTCTGCATCAAGTCTCGTTTTTCTCATTTACCAAAAACGACGCCTTAAACGGTTCATATCAAAGTCTCTTGTTTCAAATGTGCATCAATCCGGTTTTTACGTGTAACATACTGTAACTTTCAGTGCTTAAAAACGTCCTCTCCACATCCAAAGAGATTAATTAAAGCTAAATGTCAAAAAACAGTTCATTCAAAAATCAACATGTTGATGACATCACAACCATGAGCTCATTAACACATGACAGCCAAATATCACACAATCACAACTGACAGTCTAATCACTGTTTCCTTTAATATTTACATAAATAGCACATAAAAATTTTATGCAAATCATATTATTTGTATATTTAAACTAATTAATTAATTTACGGACGATGGACGACTGAGAGACAGACAGACAGACAGACAGCAGACAGAAAGCAGACAGACAGACAACAGACAGACAGACAGAAGGACGGACGACTGAGAGACAGACAGACAACAGACAGACAGACAGCAGAAAGGAAACAGACAGACAACAGACAGACAGAAAGCAGACAGACAGACAACAGACAGACAGACAGAAGGACGGACGACTGAGAGACAGACAGACAACAGACAGACAGACAGCAGACAGAAAGCAGACAGACAACAGACAGACAGAAAGCAGACAGACAGACAACAGACAGACAGACAGAAGGACGGACAACTGAGAGACAGACAGACAGACAGACAGACAGAAGACAGAAAGCAGAAAGACAGACAACAGACAGACAGAAAGCAGACAGACAGACAACAGACAGACAGACAGAAGGACGGACAACTGAGAGACAGACAGACAACAGACAGACAAAAGGACGGACGACTGAGAGACAGACAGACAGACGGACGGACGGACGGACGACAGAGACAGACAGACAGACAGACAGACAGCAGACAGACAGACAAAAGGAAGGATAGACAGCAGACAGACGACTGACAGATAAGGTATGTTTCTACCTGTCTTACATCTCACAGACAGACAAGAGAGTCTTTGCTGATAAATGTCATCAACAGCATATTCATTGATTATAAAACCATACAGATTTATTAGATTCAGGATTATCAATCAATCCATTAATCATATTTAGAGCAACTAAAACACCTCATTGCATTACAGCTAGCTGCCAAGCCAACAATTCTCATTTTCAGTTTAGGTTGAAGTTTTAGTATAAGTTCAAGTACTAAAATAAAAAAAATATATATACATTTTTTTTAAATAAAATAATGAAAAAACAAGTAAAAAAAAAACTACTAGATTAACTACAACTATAATGAGAAACAAACAAAAAAAAACTATACAGACATTTAAAAACACCAAAACTAACACAAAGTGCAAATACACAAAATAAAATGACTAAAACTTACTAAAATTAAACATAAAATATAAAAATAAAATCTAATTCAAGATATAACAGTATATAATCAACTATAACAGTTATCTCGATACTGAAATAACACTGTTTTGCATCACAGGAACAAATTACATTTTAAAATACCATCAAACAAAAAGAATTGTAATAATATTTAATAGTTCATATCATAATTTTGGAATGGTAGCGTGTGCAATAAAGTTAAATGCAGGCAAATGAGATGTGCACAAGTCTTATGATTTGAAACTTTTCATATGATTAAAAAAAATTGTGACATTTTATTTGCATCTTGGTGTTTCCATTTAGGATGTTTATGATACATGCACACATTTGCACCTGACAGTATGTTGTAGTGTATGTACTGTACCTTCCCGCTCTTGTCTTTGGCTCCAGTGCTGCTGCCGGTGGAGTTGAGCGACCGCCGTCTCTGTTCCTGATGTTCCTCCACCTCAGACTTCAGATGCTCGATGTGCACCAGATAGGCCTGTTCCTGAGCCTCCCTCGTACTCAGCTTCAGCTCCAGAGCTTTCTTCTCCTTCTCCAGCAGATACAGCTGCGCCTTCAGCTCCGCCATCTCCTCCTGAACACACACACACACACACACACACACATCTGTGACCTACAGATCATTTCACAGAGCTTCATCTGACAGGTCACATCACCACTGAGAGCATCTCACGGCTCGGATACGCTTCACAAACACACACTCATCAAACCCTGACTGTGTGTTTGATGCAATGAAGTTTAGTGCATTCTTATCATATTGTATCGACTTATAATCTATATAAACACGAGAAAAACTCTATTGCATATACCAGGCTTTCCCTAATGGGGGTTTCTGAGTTGATGAAAAGATTAAATTATAAAAATGCTAAATTAAAATAAATAATTTATAACTTTAAAAATACATAAAAATAAGTTAAATAATATGAAACACAGAGGAATATGAAAAATATTAAATATTTTTAAATGGCATTCAAATATTTTTTTTAATTAATACAATTATTTTATTATTTAAATTAATACAATTAATGAAATAAAAAGATTATATATTTTATTTAAACTAAACTAAAAATAAGTATTTTTAAAATAAAAAAACTAATCAAAATAAAACACTAAGATATAAAACATCATGAAAATATGCACAATATATTTTTGAAATCACATTTAAATTATTTAAAATAATAAAGTAAAACACTAAAAAGATTTAATATTTTACCTGAAATAGATTAAATTGTTTAAAATGGATTTAAAATATTAATTATGAAAATATGAAAAATATTAATATCAATAAAAATAAATTAAAAATAATAAAAATAAACCACTTACTAAATAAGACAAAAAATATTTTTTAAATATATTAAAATGAAAATACAAATAAAAAAACTAACAACTTTACAATAATTTTAATATAACAAAAAATAAAACACTAAAAAATATAAAATATTTTATTTGGTCACCTGCATATCATGTGCTCATTACCTGACATCAGAGAACCGTGAACATACGAATGTGTTAATAAATTATTGAAATAATAACTTAAAGAAAATATTTTAGCTCAAAACGTTTGGCTGAAAAGAAGTTTGGGAATCTCATACACACTGAAACGGTATTTTCAGACCCAGTGTTTGGCACTGATCTGGTGTCAGTGTTTCTCTCATGTCTCACATTTCAAACACGCGCCACTGCTCCGAAGGCCAAAGCTGAAGGTCTTTTTCTATTCTATCGGTTTTATTTTTATTCATTATATAATTTAAAAAAAACCTTGCTGTGTGCACTGCGTTAAGCTAACTGAGACTTGTTATAGCACTTGTATATCATTGCTCTTTTGTTGATTTTAATGTATAATTAATTTGTAATGTTTTTATTTAATTTGTTATTTAATTAATTTCATTTGTAATTTATTATTTATTTCTTACTACACACACACACATCCAGTATATATATATATACTGTATGTGTGTGTGTGTAGTAAGAAATAAATAATAAATTACAAATGAAATTAATTAAATAACAAATTAAATAAAAACATTACAAATTAATTATACATTACATATATAACTAATAGCTATATATACATATATAAAATTTCCTGTAAATAAGCTATAAAACATCTAAAAACAACCTAAAACCTAATTTAAAAAAACATATTTATACATTAAATAAACACACACACACACACATATATGGTCACACTTTATTATAAGGTCCAATTATCGCTATTAACAAACCATTAACTACAACTTCTAAATAACCTCCTAATTTGCTGCTTATTAATAGTTAGTAAGGTAGTTGTTAAGTTCAGGTGTTGGGGATTAGGGATGTAGAGTATGGTCATGCAGAATATCTGCCTTACAAGTACTAATAAAAAGCCAATATGTTAATAATAGGCATGTTAATAAGCAACTAGTTAATAGTGAGAATTGGACCCTATATTAAAGTGTTACTATTTTTTTCCTGTAAATATGTTACAAAAATAATCTAAATTACCCTAAATATCTCATTTAGGGTAGTAGCATAACATTAATTTAGTTTTACTAATAACCACATACAATAAACTTGTAATTTGTCATCATTGAAAATAAAATGTTTCATAAATTCATAAACAACAGTCGTGGAATGGTTACTGCAGACATAATTTATTTTTCATTTCAATAATGAAACGCTGCTGCAGCCTGACAAATTACACGAGACATCAGCGCAATTCACTCGCCCTCCTGCTGTCACACGCAATAAACGCCTGTGTGTGTTATTAATAGTTAGTAAGGTAGTTGTTAAGTTCAGGTGTTGGGGATTAGGGATGTAGAGTATGGTCATGCAGAATATCTGCCTTACAAGTACTAATAAAAAGCCAATATGTTAATAATAGGCATGTTAATAAGCAACTAGTTAATAGTGAGAATTGGACCCTATATTAAAGTGTTACTATTTTTTTCCTGTAAATATGTTACAAAAATAATCTAAATTACCCTAAATATCTCATTTAGGGTAGTAGCATAACATTAATTTAGTTTTACTAATAACCACATACAATAAACTTGTAATTTGTCATCATTGAAAATAAAATGTTTCATAAATTCATAAACAACAGTCGTGGAATGGTTACTGCAGACATAATTTATTTTTCATTTCAATAATGAAACGCTGCTGCAGCCTGACAAATTACACGAGACATCAGCGCAATTCACTCGCCCTCCTGCTGTCACACGCAATAAACGCCTGTGTGTGTGTGTGTGTGTGTCTGTCAGTGTGTGTGTGTGTGTGAGAGAGAACTCAACACCTGTCTCATTAAACCTTAAAATCTGAGCGCCGGAGAACAGCAGTAAACGCAGGAGATGAGCTGTGTTTCTCCTCATCTGTAAGCACACAGTTTAGAAACGCTGTGACGCTGAATGGAGGACAAAGGGAAAGTAAATGTAAGAGTTCCCAATCAAGACAGATTTTCTGAGTAGGTTGATGTATTATCAGTAGAGTTCTGGCACCTTCATAGCCATGAGCTCCTGCATGAGCACGGCGTTCTCCAGGTCGAGTCTCTGCGAGTCTCCGCGGGGTTTGACGTCGCAGCTCAGCGGGTCGATGTGGACGCTCTCCAGCTCCAGCATGGTCAGCTTGACAGCCGCCCGGTCGTTCTTCAGCTGCTGCATGTAGTCCTTCAGACGCTGCTCGTCGTCTTTGGAGAAATCCGTGTCACAGCTGCTCGCCGTCGAGCTGGTGGTGCTGCAGCATCGACAACAACTCAGAAGATTTATATTCAAAGAAAAATTTTATTAAATGTTACCCTTTTTAAAAGAGTTTTCATAGAACTCAATTTTTCATTATTCTCACCAACCATAAAACTGCATTTGGCAAATATTTTTACTAAAATACTTGTGTCTCTATGTTATTATGTAGCCAATTCCCATATTTTAGATACTACTACTACTAATTGAAGAGTTTATTTGCAAAAACAGATAACTCCGCTTTTTTAGATTTTCAAAAATCATGTTTTTTATAATGTTATCATGTTTTTATTGTTAGTTAGCTGGTTTTTTAGTTATTTTTTAACCTAGTCAAAATAATGCACAATGAAAAAACATGATTTCTGAGAATTGTTAAAAACTGAGTTATCTGTTTTTGCAAATTAACTCTTCAATTGTTATTATTATTATTAAAAGAACTCTAAACATGTATTATAAAATATTTAATAGTAAGATTAATAATATTAACTGTTATTAAAATAAAAATGACAACACACTTATAAAATCTGTTATACAAATAATATATTATTAAGTTATGATATTTTATAATACATTTCTATAATTAATCTTTAATTATTACTGTAATTGTGTATAGTGCATTTTTATATTTAAGAACGTACTTAGTTATTACATTTTATAATAAATGTTAGAATTATAATTTTTATTTTAATAAGAATGAATAATTATTTTTTATAAAAATAAGAGTAATTGTTATTACAAAATATATATAAAATGTATTATACACACACACACACTCTCTCTCTCTCTCTCACACACACACACA